TACGACACTCAGAAAACAAAGATTTATAAGAAAATAGAAAGCTTAAACAAATTAAACTATCATAAACAATCTTTCACTCAGGTTACAAAATACTTAACCAACACTGAGAAGTTACAAAATGGAGAAGTTAATACGTCCCTATCCTAGACCTAGTGAAAGGTTCGGTTTGTAATTTATCGAGGTAAATCCTTAAATTTCCATTTTAGGTAATTCGGGTGTTATCTATTAGAAAGAAATTTATTCTTCAATTGATGTACTATATAAATTTTAATTTAGTCGTTCTTTCCAGATTTTGGGGTATTACACCACCGGATGTAATTAATGATAAACAATGTTGTTAACCAATCTATTGGTTCTCGTTGACTAAGTATGAGACTGCTAAAGAGGTCTAGGATCATCTGGCTAAAAATTATCAATTAGAGGCGGATATTTATGCACTTGAACCAAATGATACGAGTATTCAAGACTTCTACTCTAACATGCCTGCATTATAAAATCAATCGGCATTAACAAATCCTAAAGCATTGTCCTCATTACCACCCCACATTGCTGAGAGAGAACGACAACGCCTTGTATAGTTTCTTATGGCTCTTTGTCATGATTTTCAATGGTTGTGCAGGACAATCCTACATCGTACTCATCTTCCGTAAGTCGATTCAGTGGTCAACAAGCTATAAACTAAGAAGATTTGTCTCAAGTCTCAGGCCGATAAGGGGACTCCCACTTGCTACTCTGATTGTTTTTATAGTATTGCAGTCGTCACTGACTAGCAACCAAACTAGGGCGGCCACAAAAGCATCCCATAATGAGTGTGATTTATGCAAACAAAAGGGTCATTAGAAATCACAATGCCTCTTATTCTCTTAACATTCATATCAATATTTTTCCTTAATCTTTTAATTGGTCTTCAAATTAGCAAGTTATGTTCGACCATCTCTTTTGTTCACCGGCCACTAGATCCATGAAGAATCTAAAAAAAATCTGCTTTTTGATCTTTGTTTTTTTTGGGAGAGTATGCCAATATGATCTTAATGAGGTGTGGGGTTTTGCATATAACATTCGTTGGGCTTCCCCCATTGGGAGAAATGGAATTCCAGAACCTAAACCACTCCGTTGAGAGCTCCGTGACTCGTTCAAGGGAAGGTCCACCAATGATTGCCATTCTCCCCCTATCTATCTCTTGTCCCTCGTTAATAAAGCAACCTTTCACGCTAGACGCTCACTTTTTTTGTTTGGGTGAAACCTAGCGGTGGGGATTCCTTAATCAGATACACATAATTGGGATTCGAAACGAAAGCAAATAAACCATTTGGACAGGGACAACCTCTCTACAATCACATGTGATATATTCATGAGCATTTGTGAATATACTTATAATCACATGTAATTTATCTTTACATGTGAATATACTCATGGTTATCCAGGTTGTTTTAACTAGAGTTTCAAATTAGCAAATAATACTTAACCACTTTTTATAATATATATTCACATGTGATATGCGCTTAGTCATTTGTGAATATAATCATAACTCATAAGCATGCGTAACATATAATCATATGTGAATATATTCATAATCTAGAGTTTGAAATTCGGTTACAAAGGTCATATAAAAAACACCGATACATGCATCAAACTAAGGTGTTACACAATGGACAACCACATACATGATACATAAACATCCAAATGACCAACTACCATCTCCTAAAACACTCAACACTACTCTAAATGGATGTCACCATGCATAATTGCATCTATAGTTATGTGTCTTGAAGAACACATGTTGAAGCACCATGTATAGTAATAGAAAAGGGAATAAGATAAGATTTAGAGGTGATTTTATGCAGATCCTTAATTCCTTTAATGGTTAGATGATATGATAAAAACATATCAAATCTTGAGATGCTTTAATTCCACCCAACAACCCTACCTTTATATATACATATATATATATACCAATTCCATTCCCAATCCCAATGTGATTTCAACACTATCACCATTAATTATTCGACTTCCAAGAAGTACTCTGATTCACTCACAAATAACACGCCCACTCAAGCAATAAGTGTGATTCCAATGCCAACACGAAAGTGAGGTGTAGTTTACTTGGGTAAGTGTTTATCAAGTTACATTACCTAATTCGATGAATATGATAAGGACCAAGAATCTTACCCGATAAGAACGAGACAAAAACCAAGAGTCTTACATGGTAAGTGAGGGCGATAACTCTTACTACGGTAAGCGCTTACCGGATAAATTGTTGCATACAATGTCGTTTTGATGGACTAAAATCTTATCCGGTAAGTAAATGATAGTGTTAAATTTTACACATAAGCGCTTACCGAGTAAGTGTTTGGTAAACGGTCCCTTAAACTAATGAAAATAATATTATTTTGTAAACCATGAAAACAAAACAAAAAAATCTGAGTGTCGATTATGTTTAAAGATCAATTATGAACCTCGAATCAGATTTTAATTAAGTCTTTTCAACTATGTGTTCAAGTTTATATTGCAAAAATATCATCTATGGACAAGTTGATCACTTGTTTAAAAGTGTTAAAGTGTGTTGGATTTAGAGATAAACCAACAAGCACACGTCAACTTGAATGATATGGAAGTAGGCTCGAGAGAGCTACTTAGAATCGAGGTGACTCATTTTCACTCAATTTAGCTTATATAAGAAATAGTTTGAGTCAATGTCGAGACTCCAGCCTTACATAGAGATATGAAGGCTTAATCTATGGTTGTGTGTCATTTTATATCTCGATAGAGTACCTTAAAGAAGCTATTAGTTGTAAGGACAAATTATTTATAAAACATGCTATAGAACCATGCTATAACGTGCTGTCAATTTAAAAATCGGTTGAATATCTTAACAAATCCCTACATCCTAAACTCTATTTTATTACTTGTTCACAACAATAGTGTTAAATCAATTCATCTTAAATATTTCTTCGAACTCACTATCTGAAATCATATATTTATTTAGAATTTTAATTAATTTTTATTCATTTCTCTGTGGACGATATTCGGTATTTTTACCACTTTAATACTTGTAAAAAAACGATAGTGGATTGATAAGTGTATGCTTGCACTAATCTCTATTTATTAATAGTCCGCGAGATTTATTTTATATAATTTTCGTAACACATATAGTCTTGCAAATTCCATGAGCTGGAGACCTGAATTCTGCTTCTGCACTACTCCGTGCCACAACATTTTGTTTTTTACTTCTCCATGTAACCAGATTTCCTCCAACGATTGTACAGTAGACAGACGTAGATTGCCCACCAGTAATACTATCACTCTAGCCTGAATTGGTAAATACTTCTATCTGAAGGTTGTCACTTTTTGAACATTAGACCTCTTCCAGGGCTTCCTTTCAGATATTTTAAAATCGTAAAGGCTGCCTCAAAATGTTCTCGTCCAGGTGAGTGCATATATTAGCTAATCAGGCTTACTGCAAATGCTATATCTCGACGTGTATGCGACAAATAGATCAGCTTTCCTACGAGCCTTTAGAACTTCTCTTTATCAGTCACTTCTTCAGCTTTAGCAATATAACATTCAAGGATCTATGGGAGTATCAACAGGTTTACAACCTAGGAGAACGGTCTCACTGAGAAGATCCTAACATAAATCTTTCTGAGAAACATAGTGCTTTTATTACAAAGTTATCTAGGTTGTACTCTTCACAACTTATTAATGGATATAACCCTTTGGTATGAATAGTTTATGGATGTTTTTATTTAGACATCTTGTTTGGGCTACTGGATTTATGTTTTTAATTTCCTGGCGTGGATATTGGCAGGACTTGATTGAAACTTTGGCATGGGCTCATGAACGCACACCTTTGGCCAATTTGATTCGTTGGAGAGATAAACCGGTGGCACTTTCCATTGTACAAGCAAGATTGGTTATATATTTAGTTATGCGGCTTTCTTAATTGCCTCTACATCAAGCAAATTTGGTTAATTTTTTTAATTGAATGAAGAAGAGATCCACCTTCTCCGGCTGTAGTAATTAGGGTTGTGGAAGGAAGGTTGAACGGCTGCGGGAACTATGGTTCGTGCTCTGATACCATCATAGAAATAATGGGTATTTCATATTTTTTGTATATCGACAAAGAGAAAGGGTACAACATTTATAGGGTTACAAGGGAAAAGGAGGAACAGATTCTAAGACAGCCTATTAACAGCCATACAAGAAAAAAGGAAACTAAATAAATAGCATATCCTCTTCTAATCGAGGCTTGTAACAGGTAGAGGCAGTGGTGACCAATATGGTGGTTAACAGTGGTGGTGGAATTGGCGGAGATAGGGGTGAGCAGCGGCGACGATGGTGGCTGGTGGACAACAGTGACAACATAGGACGTGAAGATGGTGAACAGGGGAGGTTGTGGTGGTTGTGGTCGATGTGGTAGAGGTATAGGTGGTGGTGGGTGGTGGCAATAGATGGCCGATAGTGGTTATGAAGATGTTGGAGAGGAGGTTGCCATAGTGGAGGTCAAACCACCCGAAAAGGAATGAAAGCTTCAAATCGAGTTCTCTCTAGTAAAGGTTGTGGTGGATGTCGGTGATGATGGACAGTGGTGACCATTGAACCAAAAGCCATTTCACACCCCTAACCATCAAGAGGTAATAAGTTTAATCAAAATTTCAATCTAAGTTATATACCTGAATATTCCACCACTGTTTCCTTGTCGAGTAGAAGATGTGCTACTTGTAATGTAATCTTCAGGAAGGAAGGAGCCAGCAAATAGAAAGAGGGCCAGTTTTCTATTCCCAAAGGCCAGGAGCACATGGAATAAGATATATACATCTTTTCGGCCCGACTCCAGATTTCATCCGCCACCCCATATAACAACAACTTACTCTATAAATAAATATTTCATCTCTCTCTCTCTCTCTCTCTCTCTCTATATATATATATATATATATGTATATATATATATACTTGTTGAATTCACTTCTCTCCATCTAAACAAACCATATATCCATCAATGTCTGCCTATATCTTCTCCCTTTTACCTCCATTCTTCTTTATCCTCTTCCTCATTCACAAAACCTGCAACAAAAACACCACCAAACTACCCTCTGGCCAAATGGGTCTCCCGTGGATTGGTGAAACGATTGCCTTCTACAGAGCCCAACGCAAGAACCAACTGTTCGACACCTTTTTTCAGCCTAGGATCAACAAGCATGGCAAGATTTTTAAAACGAGGCTGATGGGATCGCCCATGGTGGTGGTAAATGGAGCTACAGCAAATAAGTTCTTCATGTCGAATGAGTTCAAATTGGTCATAAGCTCATGGCCAACTTCCTCTGTAGAATTGATGGGAAAGAACTCCATCATGGAGAAACAAGGAGACTCCCATAGTTGCCTTCGTGGTATTATTGCTTCCGCCCTCGCCCCTGCAGGCCTCCATGCAATGGTGCCCAGAATCTGCACCTCTATTTACAAACACCTGCAGAAAAACTGGCAACACGCTGAAGAAATCAGTCTACATCGGTCTACCAAGATGATCACTTTCACTATTGTTCTTCAGTGCTTGTTTGGGATAGGGATTGAACCAGAGACGATGTTTGGAGTCTTTGAAAATGTTCTGGAAGGTGTTTTAGCTGCTCCGGTTAATTTCCCAGGGACAAAATTCTCAAGAGCTAAGAAAGCGAGAGCTGAGATAGAGAAGGTGTTGGTTAATGAGATCCAAAAAAAGAGGGAGGCCATGGAAGGTGGGAGAGATGAAGAAGATGGCATGCTACTTTCTGCGTTGGTGGGTGCGTTGATCAGAGGTGAGATCACGGAACAGGAGGTTGTTGATAATGTCGTTTTGCTAGTGTTTGCAGCTCATGATACAACTTCTTACGCCATTACAATGACGTTTAAGATGCTCGCCAATCACCCAGATTGTTATTCCCTTCTACTAGAAGGTATGTTAACAAAAACCATTATAACACAACAGTTAGATATATGTATGTATATATATCTCAAGGGACCAATGCCGCTTTTCTTCACGTTTATCTTAATGAATGGGCAGAACATGAAGACATTGCTAGAAACAGAAAGCCAGGTGAGGTTTTGACGTTTGACGATGTGAAGAAAATGGAGTATACCTGGCAAGTAGCTCGTGAGACCATGCGATTGTGCCCTCCCATCTTTGGCTCCTTCAGAAAAGCAACATCTGACATTGACTTTGAAGGCTTTACCATTCCAAAGGGCTGGAAGGTGCAAACCATATGATGTTCCTTGCCTTCATCTACATACACACACACACACGATTGTGAGTCAAATGTTGCAAGTTTGTGTTGTAGAGGAAGTACAGATTTCTCTAATATCGAATGTTATTTTGATCTCTGCAGGTGCTTTGGACCACATACGGAACACATTATGATGAAGAATGTTTTCCGGATCCAATGAGTTTCAATCCGAGTAGATTTGCGGATCCGGTTCAAGCTTATTCTTTCATACCATTTGGTGGAGGGCCAAGGCTGTGTGCAGGCTACCAACTGGCAAAGCTAATTATTCTTGTATTTGTGCATTATGTTGTAACACAATATAACTGGTCGTTAGTATACCCTGATGAGTCGATAGTCATGGACCCGCTCCCATTCCCTTCTAAAGGCATGCCTATAAAAATTTCTCCCAAATCTGTAATTAGCTCTTCTACTGCATTGTGAACTTGAAATAACATCATAGCAGTTTAACTTTAGAATAATCTTTCGCATTTAGAACTATCTTGTTAGAAATCAATACAGTTCAAGACTAGTTGAATCCAGATTGCCAATTTTTATGTCTTTCTTACAATTATAACCTCAATGCACCAAGGCTTTGTGCTTTTCTCTGCATTTTGTAAAGAAGCTACAAAAGGGGAAGGTCCACAGCTGGATCTAGAAATGATAAAGAGTTTCAACAGATGATTCGATGATTTCTTGTTTAGAACTGGGTTTCTCTGTTGTGGGATCTCTTATGCACTGGTATAAAAACTATTGGTTTTTTTAAGCAAGAATTGGTTGGACAATATAAGCAATTGCTGAAGGTAGAACTCAAAGTGTGGAATACTCAACTGTTCACCAGGGACCAAAGGCTTTCAGGTGATGTAAAACAACAGGTGCAACTACTAAATCTGGAGGAGCTTAGAGATCTGTCCACTGCAGAAAGAGAGTTTAATGCAAGTAAAATTAAAGTTGAAAGAAATCAAAAGAAGATCAAGAATAACATGGAGAAAAGCCGTGTGACTGTATGCCTAAAGCAAGGTGATAAAAAATCTAAAATTTTCTACTTGCATGCTGAGGTAAGAAAGAATAGGAATTCCTCAGTGGGTTTATTGTTGATGATTAGTGGGAGGAAGATGCTATCGTAATCAAGGATCACAACCTCATGCATTTAGAGAAGCTATTCGCAAAAGAGGAAAATGATGATTCTTGGTTTCCTTGGGAAGATTCGCAACTGAAAAAAATCACCTTTGCTATGGAAATTGAGTTGAAAAAACCAAATATGATCTATCAATTCAAGAAGAACAGGAAATGATGAAGACCACTGACGTGAAAGTGGATGCAGACATTTCCACAAGCAGTTATTATCACGGGGGATAAGGAACAATTGGATCATTTCCTTGCCTTTCATGTGCGGAAAAGAATTGCAGAATCGGGAACCTAGGCCATCCAGTTTTAATGACGAATGGATAAGGTGGCCAAGTTTTAACAGTTTGCTTCATCAATGGCAGAACTCCTTCCAGATTCAAGGACGGAGTTGCAAAAGGTGGAACTCAAGGTGTGGACTGTTTTTTTCCAAGGCAAAAAAGACTAGATGTATTTTCGTTAGAACTATATTTTTCTGGTGTGGAGTCTCTGGCATGAACTGATGGAACTAGCTCCTCGTCGAGTGGTCTGATGTGCATAATGGGGAACTTTAACACAATCACCTGCTGGGGTAAAAGGCTACATCAATAGATGGTGATCAGAGTATTCAAGATTTCAGTTGGTTTTGATGGAGCCCAGCTGTTGGACCTAACAAAACAAAATTTCACATGGATTGGAGGGATAGAAAAAAGATCAAGAAATTGATACATGTATGGCAAACCAAAAAAGTGAATGTAGACTTGGCTACAGCAATGATGGTCATGGGGGATAAGGAACAATTATACCATTTGCCTTTGGCATGGAGAGAAGAATGCAGAGTTGGGGTCATAAACCATTCAGATTTAATAACAAACAGAATCAGGTAGCAAAGCTTCAATAGTATGATTCATCAATGGCGGAATTCCTTCCAGATTTAATAACAAAGAAGTAGAATACTCAGTTCTGCCTGCCCAATCATATTTTATCATTATTGTTTCATCTGTTGCCCAGTAAAGCAATATCTTTCTTCCAATATAGAATCTGAATAACAAAGAGATTTCAACCTTAATCTTGGCAATTTTCTGCATAGATTCAGGGATTTTTTTCCTCGCTAAAATGTAATGTCGTCGTCGTAACATGAAAGGCGTGTACATATTCTTGTTAAAGAATCAATAAGATAGAATTGGACTTACAACTAATGAACTCCAATGACAAGCTCTAGCTCGTGAAGACCTGATTCCACCAAAAACTGAATTGACGAACACATGAGTACCATAAAACTCCATAGATAAAAAGATACCATCCACCCACCAAATCAAAGAGCAAGGAATGGTAAATTGGGAAGAGTATCGTACTTGTAAAATATAAACCCTTGAACATTTTCACTTCAAGGCAACCCAATCCATATCAGGTACTTGAAATCACCTGAACTTGAAAACAAGAAGAAGAAAAAAACCAATTCCCTCCGTATTAATCCTTGCCCACCATGTGTTTGCGAAATTTACCTTGCCGCATCCTATCTCCATTTTCGTTATTGTTAGGTTGATTGTTTCTTCTTAAATGGTTTAAATGGTTAAGTTGTAAAAATTCTAAGCCTTAATTCTAAAATACTTTGAATAATTTTGTATTATAAGTCCTCTTTAGAGTTTCTTAATCATTCTAACCACTTAATCATTTTACATCAAATCATTCAGCAATTATCAAATAACCCCGAAGTTGTGAATGAAATATTCTTAAAAAATTAACCAAAAAACCCCACAAATTTGTGTGGATGGGAGTAATCTTTTGTTAAATTTATGTTACAAGAAAGATATAATTGATACTATTGTGAAAATATAAATATTTAATTAATCGGTTATTTTATGATTAATTGGATTTAGGGTTACACGTGTTATAAGTTACATAACCTTCGTTTCAGTCATTGCGTTGAAATACAAAACGAAAAAGATAGTTACATGAGCCTTGAAAGGTTAGCTTAGTGACAATAAATCTTCGGCCTATGAGGCTCTTCCCACCGATCACCGGTTCAAAACTTCAAATCCTTACAAAACTACCAGGTGATTTCCTTATTCTTATCCAATGCGAAATTTAATCAAGATACAAAGCATAAGCTGACCCAAACATCCATGATTAACAAAAAAAACCTCATTTGTAGGATATTCGAGTAATGAAATCATAACATCATCGATGTTCATCTCTGCAAGAATCTCATATTGCAATCGAAGAGAATGAAGTGTCTAGTAGCACGCTCAAACACAATCAAACATCCCCTTCCATCCCTTTCAAGTATGCAAGTTTTGGAGTCCCTTTTGAGTGTGTTTTGGCATGCAGACAACAATGATCAAGAATATGACAGACAGGTGAAAGAATTATGAAATTAAGATTTTAATTTGACATCAGTAATTTACATATCCTCTCTCATATCCCCAATTTTTGTTCCACCTATTTTGATAAGACAAAAGAAACTGCATTTTTGTCCCACTCGGTTCTGTCATGTCTCAATCAAATTGTTGTACCATATACCAAATGCACCATCAGGAAAGAATGAAAAGTAAAGGATCCAAATGTCCATCTTTCTTCGAAGATGGCATTTAGCAAAAACAGAAGCAGTTGCAAATGACATATTCTGTATGCGGTGGTCATTTCCATTTGGTAGATTAGAACTAGATTACTAGAATCAGTCGTCGTGCTCATAACGCACCTCTACACAAAGAAATCGACCCAAAAGCACATAAATAATAGAACAATCCTACCTCAAAATTAAACGACATTCTAACACAACCTACCAAACTCGATTCATTCTATGCATCATAGCAGATTGCCAAAGTCGATGAGCTTGAAGACGCTTTTGAATCTGATACCAACACAGCAGAGGGGAAACCCATTAGTTAGTCCAACACATAGGGTAATTATCAGATGAAAACCATAAATATTTTGAGAACCATGAACAACAGTAGATAATGCACGCACTATATGAATTTCAATGAGTATATGCACCAATGCGTATGTACTTGCATATATAGCAGATATACATCGATGAATATATTCATCGACAGAATACATATTTTGATAATGTATATTCATTGATGCATATATATATATATATATATATGAATATACTGGTTCTCATGTATTTATGGTTCTCGTTTAATATAGCCAAACACATAACAAGAAACAACACCAACCAACCTTCTAAACCATTTCGCATCCAATCTTGTGTGCAAATGAGCGCTTGCAGAGTATCCGCGCTTAATGAGCTTCGATACTCATCAACAACAATATCTCCGGTATCAAACACCGACTCCAACGAAACCTTTGACATCGGGATTCCGAGGATATTTCTCGCCATCATCGATAGCACCGGATACCTAGGAGTGTGAACTTTCCACCAATTCAGTATGTTAAAATCAACATTCCGAGGAAATAACGGCTCCTCCAGATACTTATCAAGGTCCGACTTCACGTTTTGATTCTGCGACGTTTCATGAAGGAATCGATCAAAACCTGTCAGCCGATCTCGGGTATCGTTACCGCCATCACTTCCGCCCACCTGGCTGTGAGAAGCTAATGTGGAATACACATCATGCCCATTGTAAAGTGCCCTCATACAGTTAGAAACAATATCTACACAATCTGGAGCATCACCCCCATAAATTTGTGGGTAGTAATACTCTACTAACTTCATCTTAAATCGAGGGTCTAAGATCGCTGCCACTGCCAACGCCAAGCTGCATTTCTTCCAGTAATCATCAAATTTACTCTTCATTTTTAACGATAATGAGCTTATATGTTCATCCCGGCTCTGGCACCAGTCAATTAACTGTAAATGGATATCACAAACCTCTGGAAAATATATATTTGCAGTTGGATGTTTGCTTCCTGCAAAAACTGTAGAAACTTCAACAAAAAGCTTCAAGAAACTAGTTATGGTGCTAGCTCGGCTCCAATCATCGTCCGATGGGCACATTGTGTAAGCAAAGTCATGTTCTTGGAGACGGGAAAACGCTTCTCTGTACTCCAAAGCAACATCAAGCATGATATAAGTTGAATTCCAATGGAGAGGGTTGTCGAGATATAGTGATTTTTGGCTGTTGGCTCCAACTTCTTGCACCATTTCATTGAACTTCTCGTGAGTTGCTTGTGACATTCGAATGTACCTAATGCTTTCCCGAATCTTGCAGATTGTCAAACTTAAGGCTTCTAGACAATCTTCCACCATAACTTTGATGAGATTTGCTGCACATCTTACTTCAAATAATTGGCCGTTACATAAAAGAAATCGATTCTGTGATAACCGTTCCCTAATTTTACAGACGATGTTGTCGTGGATTTGACAACTATCACAGGTCATTGAAAACAACTTCCGATCGATATCCCACTCCATCAATCTCGACATGATAACTTCAGAAACCATATCCTCTGTTTGAAAAGGATCAATTTGTATAAAACTCAAAATCTTCTTCCTCAAAGCCCAAGTTTCATCAACAGAATGTGCTGTTAAACATAAGTATTTAGCATCTCCTTTCGCAGCCCAGGTATCAACACTCAGGCTGATTTTTCCGGGAAGATTATCCAACATTTCGCATACTTTCTGCTTTTCTTTTAGGTAAATTTCCTTACAATCAGCCACTACTCCGTCAAGTGTTGCAAGCTCAAACAAGGGCTGCAGTTTTCTAACGAATATTTTGAACCCAACATGCTCCACCATAGCCAAAGGATAACCATGTAATATAATCATGCGGGCAAGATCAAATCGACTCCTTCTGTAATCAAAGTTACCGTTAGCTAAGCTAACAAGACCCTCTTTCACTGGGCTTTGCTCGTATTTACCAGTAACGAGATTGGGGATGTCAGCCTTTCCCTGATCATGATCAAAAGTGAAGTTTACCGGGACCAACGATCCTTCCTTTTTCTTTCCTTTTGATGTTAGCATCTGTGATACATCGTGATTTGATCTTCTTCGACACCTGATTAAGTGATTTCTCAAATGTGATGTTCCACTGGTACTTGAACCGCTAAGTTTCTTTTTACAATGCTTACAAACAGCAACGCATGCATCACCTCTTTTGACCCGGTCAAAGTCTTTCCACACTGCCGATTTCAATCTACTACAATCAACTAGTACTGCCTCATCAGAAATCTCCATTGAATCTGCATATCATCCGAATAAAAGCATATATGTCAATTTAGTGTACTGCATTCATATGTGAATGAAATGTGCCTAAACTGCCACAGCAATGCTAAAAGGTGCAGAAGAACAAGTGAACAAAAGAACATGTAATTGTAAATGTTAAAATAGCCTTTAATAATGACAAAATAGAGGAGTATGCCAACCAAAATCAATACCATCAAGGTCTTTGATGATGCCAATGAGCAATTATATAAATTTAGCTAAATTTTTTGGTGAAAAAAAACTGACTAATTTATTATTAGACATAGCAGAAATAAAAATTATTGAAAACTTATGGAAGAGTGAAAACAAGGCTGCAGTTGATAGGTATCAACCTAAGCTTACCTATCCCAAGAATCAAAACACAGTTCATAGAAAATTTTTGAAACATAATAATTCTGGACACCTTAAAACCATCCTGTAACTAAATAATGATATGACCCATGCTACGCTTTCTTTAAAAATAACCAAGAAACTGAAAGATCCTATAACAGCATATCTGAAAAAAAGAAAGGAAAAGATTTCATACAAAAAGAACAAAGAAAAATATCCCACACGTTAAAGGAAAAAAATGGAGGAGAAGTCGCAACAAATTACCACTCATACGCATGAAAACAAGAAGCATTTGTTTCAACACTAATGCCACCAATTGGGTGCATATAGTATGATGTTATTGCACATGATTAAATATAAATAAGGTAAGTGAGAGGCATGACCAAAAAGGTTGTATTTTATTTACTTTTAAAGTACATTGAACAACAGTCATAGAAACTAAAAGGAATACCAATAAAGACACGCCTATATCACCATTTGTCCATTAAAGAATAAAAAAAATACTAGATTGTAGAGATGGTCGATAGAAGAATGGTAATAGTTAGCAGGCAAAATTACAAACACAGAAAACAACCACTAGCATATATAATGTTTAAAAGTCAGACTAATACAGAAAGATGAAATCCTTAAAGGCACATGCACGTTTTTGTAGAATATTCAAGTAAAACATACATATACACACACATGTGGGCAAGGATCCACATATCTAAGTGATACGATGACAAATTGGCAAGACACCAAGCCATAAGATAGGATGAAGCAGATGAAGATGACTTATGCATCTTTTACATGCAAACCCAGGTTGCAAGTAACACAAAGCCAAAGTGAGTTTCTCTCCTCTGGTCTCCCTTTCCTGTCTTTTTCTTTTTTCTGATTAAGGATTTCTATATTTTTCAAGAACATCTTTTTAATCTAGTTTGTTACCAGATCAGGTAATTTTGTTTGTGTCTTTCGGCATCAAATGGGTTTTCTTTAATTTTGCATTGCTTAATGTGATGAAATATATCTTCCAGTGTCAATCAAGCATGTCATTGTATGATGGTTTGCGCAATTTCCATATGTTCCTAGGGCATCCACTCTTCAGAATGATAGTTGATCAAGAGCACAATGCCATGGTGGTACCAGGTAAACTTTATATAGATCCATTCAAGCTCTCTGCTTCTTTTCTAAAGTAGAACAATAGACAAAAGAAGCATTGGAGGATAGAAGATATAAGAGTAAGTGATTCCTAACAATCCCATGAGTTCACGGTTCAACTATTCATGAGGCAACAAAAGAAGATACTGATGTAGCTTAATGTAGAAAGTGATCTAGTGTAATATAAAAGAAATGAGTAATTAACTCATAAGTCTAACTACTTAAAAGACGAGGATGAATGGTCCTATCCTTTTCAGAAATTAGAGCAAATACAAAACTCATCTCCACTTTTTCCATGCATAATAAAACCATAAGTTTTTTACATATTTCCTTTGGTAGGATGTCATTTATTTCTCATAAGGATTGAAAACGTCTGGTGAAGATAAAACCAGGTTGTTATATTGTACAATTCATAAACCATGAATGTTTGACATAAGTCAACCTGGTATCCCTCATTTGGAAGATTGCCAATTTTAATTGAGATCACTCTAGTAAACTTAGCAAGGAGGCTTGAACGTACATTCTGTTGTTCCCCAGTACCTAATGACTGTTGCCAAGCCATATCAACATGCTTAGATGCAAGTCTAGAAAGATACTTGGATATGTTTTCCTACTTCATAGCTAATAATACAATAAGAACTTTATGGCAGACCTGAGTTCTTATAATCTTGAACCTACAGGCTACAGCTAGTTGCCTCCAACAAATAGAAGTTCTAAGTTCGATATCTTTGACTAATCTACTACTCTGCTTCTAAGCTAGAACTAGCAAGCATATAGTTATCATTCAAACAACACAGTAGCATTTCAATCACCACTCATACTCGCCATAATAATCAAACATTCAATTGATATTAGCCGATAGAAGTTTACAATTGCAACAAAACTTATTCCCATTATTTAAGAAGCCAACGGATGCTTAAACCCAGAAGCTAACAAATACAAATGGACAGATAGGACAAGATGTCCCCTGCTAACTAAGGCCCACTCTTAAGATGGTTTTTGCCATCAGCTGATATTTAGAGAAAAGTGAACAATAACCAGACAATATGGATGAGCTACAAAGAGTGCATATCTATGGACTCGAGTATAATTACTTCTTCCTCCACCACGAGTAGACATGTATTAAAGACCAGCTACAGGAAAGTGAAATCCCGCATCCAGGCTCCTCAATTTTTCAAGGGTTGGGGAGGGAGCTCTTTGTATGCAGCCTTCTCCTTGCCTTTTGCAAAGAGGCCGATTCCATCACGGACTTACATTGGCTATGAGAAATATTTTGTGAAACTGTAGATAAATCTCTCAGATTGATAGGTAAAGTGAATGTAACAAGAACACCAAAAACCTTACAACAGGGGTCTTTCTATCTTTCCAGAGGTTGTAATTTAATGAATAATATGACAAGTTTAGAAATATCAGATACTTAAAGTCCCTTCATTGTGTAGAACAAGAGAGTACCAGTTAAGAAGTCTTTTGAATGGTTGATCACAAATTCACAGTAGTATGACAAAGGTAAGAAAAAGACACTTTTTTTTGGGAAAAAAAGAAAAAGACACTTACAAATTGCATAACTATAAACTGCCCCTAATAGTTATCAGTGTGTCAACAATCTGAAGACCATATGGAAGTCAAAAATATAGAGTCAAATGAATGCACTGAGAATTCAAATTGAGGTTGGGAGGAGAAACCGCTTTAGCAATTAGTAAAATATAAAAACAATTTGCTTTTCTCATGATCCATAATTTGTCAAGATTACAGGTACAATGTCCAATCTAGAACCCAAAAGTTAAGAAATCAAAAAAACAATTAGAAAGAAGGTAAAAAGAATATTTATATAACCTCTTCCAAATAAGGCAAACTACATCACATGGCACATCAGAGAAAAGGTCATCAACAGGACCAAGCCACCTTCTTATAACACAATTTCAATTCAAAACAGCAACTCATATATGCACGGATTAACTGCAAAAACTCAATACTATAAATTAATTTGAAGGAACTGCTTTGCAACGTCAAGAACCCAAGAATCCTGACTTACCCAGTTTGCAAAGGTAGAGATAACCGACCCAGAAGAATAAACCCAGTTTCGACCCGAACTGGATCCGACAACAAACTGAGTAATCGGGTAAGGGGTTTTTAATTAAATAAACCCTATTGGAATTGGATCGGGGAAAACGCCGATTCAAAATATCCGGACTTCGGGTTTTCCTTTCCCATTTAAATACTAAAATTAATGAACAAACAGGCCTACATGAACGACCATTGATGAAGTCACACTTATCCAGGCACATAATTACGATTCATGCATAGACAATTCACATAGAAAGATGAAGAGAAAACGTACAGAGAGAGTGAAGAAGTTGCAATTGCACAGAGAAATTTGAAACGCATAGAGTTGATGATTAGGGTTTACAATTTTGGGCGTTGTTGGATAGCGTTAAAAGAGGGTGTTTGTGTAAGGGCACCTGGGAGATGAATCCCACGAGAAACAAAGGTGCAGAGAAGAGAGGTAGAGATGTAATTGGGCAAGAGTTGGAGCAAACCGTAGAAGGCGCCAACCCGGTATCACAGAAAATTTGGGCCTTGGCCCAAATCACTTGTTGGGCCGTTGGGTTCCCATATACTTTTTTTATTTAAAAAAAATGTAATTATCCAATCAATCATTCAATTAAATCTTAAATCTGAAAATTACTACATAAAAACTATTATAGAGTTTAGAGTTGTTTTTTACTAAATTATAAAAATTAATTAAAATTTTAATTTTGAAGGATATAATAATTTTATGATTTGTACCGTACAACTTCAAGATTGGGTCGACAAGACCACGTCTAATATATCTATACTATATTATAAAGCATTAGACAAAATTTCTTAAAAATCATTTTTTATGCATAAAGTATTGTTTATTGATGCATATTACTTAAAATTCAAGATTACAAATAAATTGTGTATAAGTACAACTTATTAAAGCTCTATGTTTGAATTCGTGTAACTAACTGCGGATAAACATAATCAAATAAAGGATAAACATATTATTTTAAAATCTAAAAAAAATATCCATATAATTATTTGAGTTCTAACAGAATACTTAATTATTATTTTTACAAAAAAATACATTATTAAACCTAAATTAAGTTACTTTTTTACGTTAAATTAAATTATAATAAAAAATTGAATTAAAAAAAAATACAAACATAAGAACTTTTAAATAGTTAATTTGATACTAATATTGATATAGTTTTTGCAAAATTTATATGATATTTTCAAATTTATATTTTATTCAAAAATAAAAACATCGTCGCTTTTTCAAAACCACATAAAATCGTATTATATAGACATGGATAAAAAAAATAAAACGAAACATTGAAATGAAAATATGTTTCGATGCATTGCATGAATACCCTTTTAGTTTTCTTTAATTCAAACCCCTTTTTTACGAACATGAAAACTTGCCCATACTCGCCCTAAATGGGTCAGACTTTCCCACGATCTAACGAGCCTAAAAATCTTTTTATATTTTTTTAGAAAAACAAAAATTATATAAAATCACAGGTTATGTAAAATAATTCAAAACAATAACAATTTTTTTTCAACTTAAAATTAGACATAAATACATACAATATATATATATATATATACATACAATATATATATATATATATAATTTTAAAAAAATGTTACGCAAAACATGGATTACTAGAAAAGAAATGACCAAATAAGATAATAATAAATTGATCAAATGAGGTGATTATGTTTTTTTTACTTTTTAGATTTTTAGAAAATTTTATCATCACGAGTCATAATTAAGCGGAAATGGATAAATATCAAGAACTTTCACTTTTATTTACAAAATTTTAATTGGTTAATTAGTATAAAAATATTAATGGGTTGGACAGACCTATTCAAAAAAAAATTGTATCATCCATGTCTGTCCATTAATTTTAACAAGTCAGTTCGGGTCCATCCATTTCTTTGAAAATGGTAGTCCAAGCATGCTTTTCTAGCGGGCTGAAGAGGATGGGTCTAGCGAAACATTATGCCCATGAACAGCTCTAAACAAGAGCTATCGGGGGGGGGGGGGGGGGGGGGGGGGGGGGGGGAGTTATGTTTATTGTAGATGGGGGAAGTGCCACCGACGGAAAAATGTACTAGAGTAAGAATAAAGAAAAAAACTCACTCTTCCTGTGCCTTTGCCCCTTCCCACACCTGCCCCTAGTCCCTCGTTGTTCCTGTTGGTCATCGCTATAACTCATGCCCCCAATCTTCTCATGATTGATCTACCTCACAACTCTTAATCCGATTCAATTTTTTGATCATTGTTGATTGTTTTCAGTTGCTCAATTTGATTCTCAACAAGAAGAGACTATCTTCTTAAATTTGCTCAATTGGATAGTTTATAGATTCCTGATGTTGGCAGCAAGACTCCTATATGAAAAACCCTTTGCACAAGGCAGGTTGTAAATTTAAGCTACAACAAGTTCAATGGAGATCTTTTCAATTGGGTCTTCGTTTTTGAAGCAATCCAAACAAATGGCTTTTCTGGCAACGAGTTTTTTTGCTACATCCCGGATGGTATCTTTAGATTAGACGTTAATGTTATTTTGTTTTTAAACATATAGTTCAAAATGTTAATAAGGGTGCTCTTGAAATGTGTATGATTAAAAAGGTCGACTACCTATCTTTACATATAAACAGGCAAAATACAACGGCTTTTGTTTAGTTACAGGTTGCTAGGAAATGCATATATAAATATCGATAATCCTAAAAAATATGTCTTTTGTACCAAAGACAAATATTCTTACACATGTTTGGCTTGTTGTCGGGATTACAATAAATGACGGAAACATCATGAAACATGTATGTTCAGCAAACAACGTGTCCACTCTATAATAAGTAAATAGATGACATAATGCAAAACGCTTCGTCCCATTTCGGTTGAAGGGACGTAATATTCACAAAAATGTCGACGTGGAGTTTTCCAATTGCTCAAACCAGATCTCCAAAATTAAATCTTGGAGTAGGGATCATGGGTTTGCCAACCCATCTGGTATTCCTAACCAACCAAACGGACACAGTATCTTCCACTGATGGAATTTGAAAAGATAAGATATACTGAAAACACAGACCTAACGTTAACCTTAAGGAGTAGAGCTACAAACATATACAATATATCTCACTTTGAAAAATCTTGTATATATCTTCATATAAAGTTATAAATTGATCAAACTTAGAATAAATTACATATTTTGTTCCTCAGGTATGTTATTTTATTACGGATTTGGTTATCTTTATTTATTACAAAATAACCCATCACAAACGCGGTTTGTTATGGATTTGGTCCCTAAGGCAAACGGTAGTCCATTGTTTTTGTTAAGTACGAGGACAAAATGGTCACTTTACTTTTTTCTTTAATTTATAATTGTTTAATTTATTTTTAGATTATATTTTAAATACTATTATTATTATATATTATCATATATATATATATATATATATATATAATATACATTTACAGAAGGTTCACCGTGTCTTTCCTAAGAGCATCTCCAACCGATTTCCCAAAAAATTTACAAAATGTAGAAGCAAAAGTCAAAATCTCCAAAAAAATTACATTCATCTCCAACAGATTCTCTATTTTGGAGAATCCAACATTGATTATAATATTAAAATATTTCTTTCGTCTATTAAAATATTATTTTTCTCTCTAAAAATTTATTTTCAAAGTTTCATATTAGTGGTCTTATTTGGTAATCATTTTTGCGGTGTTCTCCATATTCGGAGAAAAAAAACCTTCTCTCACATACTTTCTCAAAATCTCCAAAAAAATAACATTAATCTCCAACATTGGGAAGCCGTTGAAGCAAAATATTAGCTTAAAATCTCTATTTTCTCCATTTTGGAGAAGCTATTAAAGATGCTCTAAAAGACCACCGGCCTTCCTACTCCCTATTCTCTCTCACCGCCCGCCGGCAATCACCACCTCCGACACCTATATCAACCTCCATCCCCTCCTAAAATTCCACCAGCCTCCCTCCGTCTTCTTTCTCACCATTGGCACTTCATCACCACCAGATTTGCAACGCCACTCCTTTGTCTCCAACTCCCCCTTCAACCTCGATCTCTCTCATTCACCGCCAGATCTGCAACGCCATGACATGAAGGAACCAGATCAGTTGGAACCACGATCAACAACCGATATGATACTGGTTTCGTCTACGTTCAGACAATGGATCTTCTTTATCTCCTCCGATTCCCTCTTTCTTTCTTTTCCTCTGGTATCCATCTCTTCTTCGTCTCCTCCGACGTCCCCTCTCTCTTGAGGCTTCTACGACAGATCTTGTGGATCTGTATCTTGCATCTTGTGAATCCCAGATTTAGCAGCAAATCAAGAACAAATCATAATTGAAAGAGATAATACACTAACGTTGTTAAAGTAAGGGACCAAATCCATAATAAGCTACGTATATAAAGGGTTTTTTTTTTAATAATAATAATAAATTAAAATTAAAAGATGAATTCCATAATAAATCAAAAAAACCTTACGGACCAAATCCGTTTACATTCAAATTTATAAGTTTGAATACCGAGTAAAGTTTGGAAAATTAATTTCAAGCTGAAAGTAAAAGAAGTGGGACCCATCAACATCCCGTACCATCTGGTGGTCTTGTCGCTTCAGAAGACACCAACCCTCTTAGTCCTTCCCCTGTACCCCACACCAGCTTAACATTTCCTTTTTTTATATAAATAAATAATAACTAAAACATAAGTTTTATTTGAAATCGATAAAGGAAAAATTATATTAAAATGGAATCAACTTTCAATTAATTTTTATTTTAAGGAATTAATTTTTAAAATCATTATTTTGGAGAACCAACTTGTAACTGATTTTTATTTTGGGAAATCAACTTGCACCTGATTCCTATTTTTGGAAACCAACTTACAAAATAATTATAGAAAAATAACTAAAATTCGTTTTTTTTAAATTAATGCAATAAAATCTATTTTTCATTTCAAATCTCGTTTTTTTAATTCAGTTCAAATTTAACATTTTAAAAAAAATCCAAATTACCACAATAAAAATTGTTTTTTACTAATGCAAAAAAAATACCAATTTAATAGAAAAAATTAATTAATGCAATTGGTTAGATATAAAAATATTGAATGTGGTAATTTGCATTAGTAAAAACTGTTTTTTCTATTAAATTGATTTTTTTGCATTGATAAAAAACAATTTTTATTGTGGTAATTTGAATTTTTTTTAAAATGTTCAATTTGATATTTGAATTGAAAAAAAAAACGAGATTTGAAATAAAAAATAGATTTTAGGTGAAAGTTGGTTCCATTTTGCAAGTTTAAAAAAAACAAATTTTAATTATTTTTCTATAACTATTTTGCAAGTTGGTTCCCCAAAATATGAATCAGGTGCAAGTTAGTTTCCTAAAATGATAATTTTGAAAGTTGGTTCCCCAAAATAGGAATCAGGTGCAAGTTGGTTCCCCAAAATGACAATTTTAAAAGTTGGTTCCCCAAAATAGAAATCAGGTACAAGTTGGTCCCCAAAATGACAATTTTGAAAGTTGGTTCCCCAAAATAGAAATTAGGTGAAAGTTGGTTCCATTTTGATGCAATTTTCCCAATCGATAATCTATATACTTATTAGAGTAAGTTACGAATTTGGTCCCTAAGGTATGTCAAAAATTACAGATTTAATCCATTAAGTTCATTTATTGCAAAAAAACCCATCTACATATGCACTTTGTCATGGATTTGGTCTCTCACACTAACGTCCTCCCACTATTTTCGTTAAGTATGAGGGCAGATTAATCTTTTTAACATTTTTCTATTTATTTAAAGATTTTCTCAAACAAAGAGAACCAAATCTATAAACTCAGCAACATGTCAAGTCTTGAAACCAACCTGATGCTATTGGTGTGTTCCCCTCTGGCGTGGTTACCCTCCGGCATGATGAAAGGTCCCCTACAGATTGGTGTTTGATTGTGTTGTTTCAAGCCGATTTCTTGTCTGAGATTTGGTAGGAATCGTAACCCCACTACCCTCCTTGAAATATTGCATCTGTGGTCTGCCTCTCCCCTTCGCTGGTTTTTGCACCTCCAGGAGCATCTCCAATTGAACGGCAAAATCGTAAATTTGTCGTTTACACGACCAATCGGACGCCAATTTCACTTTGTTTTTGCCGGTCACTTCATTTGGACGGCAAATATGTCGTGTATGTTCGGGACACCAAAAAGGTGGTCTCCACCCAATGTATTACCAATTAGGATACCACCATGTACCACAGAATTTTCACTCGTCTCCTCCTTTCCCAATCCATCTTCTCCGCCCACCCTGTGATACTCATTACCCAATGTATTACCAATTTGGGTACCACCATGTACGACAAAATTTTTACCCGTCTCCTCCTTTCTCAATCCATCTTCTCCGGCTACCCCTTCATTGTTGCAGCCACCATCTCCTTATCTCCCTTCTCCCTTTCACCTTCCGCAACACACGCACGCACCCCTGCACCACCGTACGAACTAACACAAACACAGGGACGGGRAAATAGGCAAAGCACACCCGAACCTTCCCCTTCGTACCGCCTCTGTCGTGTCTCGTCTCCGTCGTCTGCCTCGTAAACCACTCCAGCAAGTCCCAGTCAATGATTTGAAGCCATCAAAGAAACAATCAAAGCAAAACCAGAAAGGGTTGTTGATTTCTTTGGGCCAAATCAAAGAAGAGAGATAAG